TGTGAAAAACCTTAGCAGGCAAAGGGGATGACAGTGGAAGTGGAGTTGAGCATCAGTCAAACTTCTCACCAAAAAATAAAGCTTCATGCGGTTAAAACAAAAATAACGAATACTTTTCAATCCCCTACGATATTTTTGTTGTTTGTTGTATCTTAAACTTGTTTTCTTTTTTTTTTAAATCGTGTTAGGCTTTAAAATTAATAAATTAGTGTTGCATCTAATTGGTGACACAAGTTTCAAGAACTACATTTAGAAGCTAAGAAGTTAAATACTAGACCCTTAACTGAAAATAACTTTATAAATGTCGTGCGTCCGAACTTTTCTGACCCGGTTACTGTAAATTCAGAAATTATTGCGATGTTTTTATTATTGCGAAAAATGCGACAGGGTTATATCGCAATAATTTAAACTCGCATTTTGAAATTTTTTATATGAATTAAACAGGAATTTTCTCAATATCGCAAAAATTATAATCGCATTTTAGTCTAAAATGACAAAATCGCAATAATAAATGCACGCAATAATTTCTGAATTTACAGTATTAAATATCAAAATCATGTAATAAATCACAGCAGAATTTATTATAAAGAAAAGAGATATACAACATCGAATTTGTGTGTGTACTTCGAAAGCATATTAAAGTAATCGCCGTTTGTGTTTTCAAACTTTAACGCCAGTAATAACAAAAACATCTAACCAACAAACTTTATGTCTTGCGTACAGGTACACGATATCATTGTTGTAGTATGGTAACAAAATGCACATTTATATAAATTAATTGTAGCCTGCTTATGTAAATAAAAAAAAAAATAGTAGGATGTGATAAGATTCCCAAGAAGACTTTCAACCTGATACTAAAGGACGAGGTTATTAACAAATATAGGCACTTAACAATGAATAAAACCTAATATCGTATACTAGTAGTCATTTTTAGTAAGCCCGGAATGACATTAAGAGCATACGATACAGTTCCGATCCCACGATGAATGTTTTACGAATATTTGCATACAAGCTATTTGTCACCTAAGCAATTCAAATAGGTAATAAAAAAATATACCTTCATATGCTACTTTAATAGATAAAGGTAGTCGAAATTTTAGTCAATTACTCAAAATTTCGTTGTTGTTTTTTACATTCTCGCCTTTGGATAGACACATCTAACTTTTTAGCTACAAATAATCTTCATATGTAATCAAACCTAATGCCATTTTAACAAAGACGAGTCCATGTACTCGTTTTCAAGTTAAATCAGTTTAAATAATAATAAAAAAAAAAAAAAAAACCGTCGAAAATTGCATTTTTTCCCGATACAGCACAGTTTGACGTCGCGAAAATATCATTTTACGTTAGCAACGTCATTACCACCCCTGTAACTGTATCGTATGCCCTTAAAGAAGAACACCTAGTATATCCAAATGACAACAAACAAGAAGCAAATATGACAGACATCAATCCCAGAATAACAGGCTTCTAATTCGGTCAGACACATATCGAATGGGCAGAATTAAATTTGTATGTCAGTGCAACGCCTCCTTAAATAATAAGACAGTGTTTTAAGAACACTATGCCACAGTGAACTGTGAAAATCACTTGTGGGAGCTTGACTCATTAACTCGGTTTGATAAACGTTTTGAAAACTGTACTAATATTATAAAATTCTACATGTGTCTTACAATTATCTAACCTCGTGAGTCCAAATTAATTTACAATAATATTCGGCTACTTGCTTTTATATCATGAACATTATATGGTTATGGTATAAATGTTAATCAGGCAGATCCGATTTCAGTTGAACAGGTAGACAAATTTTAGGATAAGTCTATGTTTGGTTATCATTCATCCGAAAGTTTATTGCATACTGGGTTTTTTTCTTCAACTGTAGATATTTTGGTCTACGTGATCGTTATCTGCAAATTTCACAAATACAGTTAGGAGAAGATGATAACGGAAACTTTATTGATTTCCGGGGTAAGGATAATAAACCGTATAATGGAAGGCTACGCCATCGCTATATTGCACCAAAATCTGTCTAACAATATTTAGACATAGATTGTCAGATACTTGACTCGTACAAGATGTATATGAATGCAATATATGAATTGATTAATCTGTTAGCAGTCCTTTTATCGTAGGCCTGCGTTGTCAGAAGGTTCTGTTAAGTTTGACCACATACTGGGTGCTAATAGATTAGGGACACTCATGAAAACAATATGCCAAAAGGGAGAACTAAAGTGGAATTTTAGTAACCACTCGGGGAAAAGAACACTTGCAACAAGATTGTACCAAGCAGGAGTCGGTGAGCAAATGATAATGGACAGAACAGGTCATAGAAGTGAAAAGGCTGTTCTTACCTACAAAAGACCTGCTGATTCTATGCTCAAAGATGTGTCTAATATTTTGAATCAATCTAATAAGCAGATCAAACTTGAGCATCCCAATACATTGACAGATAATTCGTGCAATCCTACCTGAACAGGATTATATTGAAAATAAAGAAAATGCATTTAATGAATCAAAATCAGAAGGAAAATATCGTGGACTGCCAAGCAACAGTTATTTCCAGAATTTTGTTTTCAATTTCGTATCGAATTTGTGAACTTTAGAAATATTCAATTTTTAACATTAAATCGTTAGTATTGGTTTTTTAAGCCGTACAAAGAAATGTATGATAAATTATTTGTTTATTCATTTCTCTGTGTCAGGCTGTGACATAACTTTTGAATTATAGAACATTTATTTTTGTCATAAAAATGTTTGATAGACCATATTAGGAAAATGTCGATGATTTATATTCATTTACCGCAAGCACTGAATTTATGTTTTTTTTTTAAATGACAATTATATTGATAGAAAAAATAATTTGAGTATTATAACAAACTGTGTTCTTATTTAGACGGGTACTTTGTTGATTGTAATGCTACTACTTTTGTTTTTCTATGATTTCTATTCTGATGTTTTATCAAGTGGCTGATTTTTATATCGAGTACAGATACATGTATCCACTTGATATTTCTTACAAAATAGAGAAAGACAATATCTGTAGTTGCAATGGAATCAACAAACGTAAATTATTGTACAATGGATTCGAACATCTGGAATTGGCGTAAAGTACATGTGACCTGGGCAGTATAAATGAAGTAGTTAATGCACACCTGACCTGTGCATTATCCAGATTTTACCACAGCAAGATCAAAGGGATTTTGCCTAAGTCATGTCTTAGCAACAAATATAGCGCTTTTATCGACAACATATTTGTTAAGTGTAGTGTACTTATGTTTAAATAAATATTTGGTATTTTAAATGATACAAAATTTTGTTGTACTCATATGGAGCAGAATTTATACACAAACTTTTAAAAGACAAACTGACAAAAGTATATTGTCAAGGTCTCAGTTTTCCATTTCTTGAAATAGTTATGATGTGGTCCTGTCAATTAATAGTCCAAAGTTCGGTGAGATATAGCATCTCATATATCTCAGTGAATAGAAATAAGAATTGTAAAAAAACCTGAAGGTCTACTCTTCATATCTTGACATTTCACTTGTTATTGACATAAATTATTATTTAAAATTAAATCTTCGACGAACAGGATGATTTCAGCTCTCTAATTAAATGGATGCATGTGCAGTAACAAACCATTTCTGCTCATCATATCTCGTGTACATATCAAAATGTATACTTTGCGCACGTACAAAGACTTATTGACAAGATTGTGCTCCATCAGAGTTCTGATGAACAATAACTGAAACACTACAAAGGCTAGCATGACGGTAATGCATGCATAAATAGATAGACGCTAACCATGTGGACGCGGACGGGTTCGTTCTCTATACGTGCATTTGATACGCGTAGGATGTTATCACATTGATGGATTCATGAGATTAGAATATCGGTTAATTATTTCATTTTTTATTCAATCTATAACCAATTTAAATGTTGATAACCTTCCTGTTCGTATATAATGTTTATTGATCAAGACATAAGTTTTTTTTAATATTTGAATAACCGAAGTCACACAATAAATGAGAGATTTATCATTTTTAAAGATTCATTCAATAAATGACAAAAAAAGCATATTCTTCATACAGGTACTCTTAGAACCATAATGATATACTTTTACATTTTATTTATGATGAGAAAACATTTTATTCAAGAGGAGGATTTGTCGGGCTTTTGTTAAATTTATACCGACGAGGGTTTTCTCGACTTCCATCGCTCGAATTCCTTTCAAAACAGTCATTCCACGTGTTGTGTAAAGTAGACATTTAATTATGTATAATACAAGCAAATAGTTTTCAATAAACAGAAAGTTATATGTCGGTTTGCTCTTAGCAAGACAAGTTTCTACAAATGTAGACCAAAATGTATGCTGCTTTCATTTCATGCAAAAAAAGATCCATCCAGATATACAGAAGTATTTATTGCCAATACAGTCATGCAATTTTTAAAGAAAAAAAAACCACTCATAATCTACGACGATACATATCAACTATAGACTGATATTGCTCACATTTTATGTTAAACTATTGGATGATGTATTTAATTTAACCCTTGATGAAGAAATTTAAAGACAGTTCTGACAGTATCAAATATAAAAACTGTTATCTAAATCGTCTAAAAACTCATTTATCACCCCATACCCTAGCATTTAGGAGAGTAATACTGTTTTGAGTATTACAAGGGTCATATTATTCACGTCCTGGTTATAATTGAATACGACTCATTTTCTCAGATACTCATCTACCATTTATTTCATGACCACCAAAAACTTAGGTTGCAAGATTCATTAATACCCTTTCAAAATAGTACAGATGTATACACCTTAACAAAATGTTCATCTATGTTCAATATCCATTTTAAAAGATGATAGATCTATCAAGAGATTTCCTTCATAGATATTTAGCTGTTATCTTCGCAACTTCGTTTCGTCTCTAGTGCAAATTTGTCTCATTGGCAATTCTACTACATATGATGAGATATAGTGAAAACCATGTAAATAGTTACCGTCTTGGACCTATGTCTGGACAAGAAGAGATATATGTTCTGCTATTTCTATGAACACAAACATAATCTGAAAAAAGAAATTTAATGGTAAAAATAAAAATGAATACTAAAGAGTAATCCCTAAAGTCTCAACATAAACAATTCTTTTTTATTTAATGCTTGTTGGCCTCTAATAGACATTAATTTATAACGTGAAAAAAGCCGTACTTTGCTTTTCAAACATGAACCATTTTCTAATATTTGACTATTAAATTAGGATAAGTCTACAACCACACAAATCTGACATAACCATCCGTAAAATCAATTTGAAACTCTAAAGAACTTTTGTTGATCAAGTTTAAATGCGTGTGTCTTGAACAATGGATACTCTCTAACCATGGGCTGATTTGACATTAACACGTAATAATCTGTTAATAAAAAAAAACCAAAAACACGAATAATTAGAGATATAATTACTAACATAAGTCAGTAACAAAATAAGTAAAATTGAGTGGAAAATCTTTTCACATTCAAACCTTATATAATGCCTAGCTGATGTACATTGAACATATTTAACTTACCAGGTGTCAGAACGTAACCAATTGGACAATGTTTTTTGTAACACGAACAATCTTCCTCTGATGGTATACATAGGCACGGATATTTTGTTGTAATATTTAAAGCAAAACCTTTTTCAAAATTACACCGACATGATCGATCGTCTTTAGAGGTCCCATTATTGAATATAATTTGTCCTTCTTCACTGCACACAGAACGTCTAAAAACACATTCAGGACCACCATTTAACAAGATTCGGAATGGCTGGAATCTGTTTTCGTTTATGCAGTTAACACCTCGAGGATGATGACTTATAATGTACTGTTCACCTACAACAAATGATTTTTTTCTTCAATCAGAAGATATAGTCCGACTTGTTATTTGTTATTCTAAATACTATGTATTATAGTATCTGATAGGATCATAGAAACCAATTAGATGATAGTTTGTTTTTAAAATTATATAAGTACAGTTATTGTGCAAGAATTTAACTAAAACAAGGATTATCTAAAACTAAAGAATTTCAAGTAGTAAACTCTAATTAGCTATACGTGCTTACCTGTACCCAGTCAGGAAAATGGCAGTTAATATCTTATAGTTCGTTTCTGTGTGTGTTGCATTGTCGTTTGTTTTTTGTTCACTTCAGTGTTTCTGTTGTTTCGTTGTTTTACTCTTATAGCTGATGTGTTTCCCTCGGTTTTGGTTTGTAACCCGGATTTGTTTTTGTCTCAATCGATTTATGACTTTCAAACAGCGGTATACTACTGTTGCCTTTATTTACTTGCCTTGACAGTTGTACTGTCCAAAAATATTGCTCACTTGTGAAAAGGTTTAAAATAGCCATTGCAAATTCAAATGACAAATGCAAAGATTGAAAAATTGAAACATGAATATATCTAAAATGTAAAACGATTTAAATCTTTGTAAAATAAACACAATGCATGGATCGCGTAGATAAAAAATAAATCTCCACTCTTCGATATACTTGGATACATTTGGGAGGCCAACAGATCCAACCATACAATACTAAAATCGACAAAAATATAGTTTAATACAATGCATAAAAGTATTAAATGAACCGATCTGATATGCTAGTTATGTTCTACCATTGATTTCTAATCATCCTATAAAAATATAGGAAAAAACAATCCCTGGAGAGGTAAATAAAACATATCAAATATTATAAATAACTTTTTTGGACAAATGCTAATGTAAGTCATATTCATCAATAAAAATAAAAAACTGGATATCCACTATTAAATATACCTCATGGTATAATTGAACAAATCTATTGGCTAATCAATAACCACGCAGTGTGAATGAATTCAGATATTTTCGTCCAAATTGTTAGGGCCGGTGAATAAACTCGACAAATTGTGTCGTCCGGTGAATAACCGTATTATTCACCGCCGGGTAAAAGGTCTTTGGAAAACAACACTGAGCATGATTGACAATTTTGGATATCCCACTAATTGTTTACTGTTTTTGTCATTCTATAATGTAAGGTAAACGTTTAGATAATTTTGGCAAAAGTAATCTCGTCAAACAAGATAATTATTACTTACAAATGCAATAATCTTATAAAAACCTTTCGGAATTATTTGTCCCGCAAACACTTCAACTCCGTATTTCATTGAACCTTTTTAACAAAATTTTAATCCTGGTATCTATGATGAGTTCATTTACAACTGCAGTATATTCCTTTAAATGATAACATACAAGTGGCCAATCCGGAAGTCGTCTATTTGAAATCGATATTGTGTACTGAATATTGGTAAATTTGTTGAATGAAATGATTTATATATGATTAAAAGATCTTTTAGAAGAAATTGAATGATCAGGCTGGTTAGGGTGTCCAAAGAGAAAATTCCTTGTTTTCTGGATCATAAACATAAAACCTGTGACCATTCACCCTTTCTTGCAGTCTTAGCCGTGTTTCACCGACATAGACAAGCCAACAACGAGTACAGTCAATACAGTGAACAATATTAGAGGTAATCCCATTTAGATCCACATGTTTTGAGTTGGATGTGCAGAAGAGACATGTTCTGATATTTATCTATGGATAACTTAGTTACATAATGCATGGATAAAAGGAGACACTCACCTTGCGAATCCCGCATGTGTTTGTTTTACCTCATGTTTATTCTCAATCGATTTGTAAGATCTGAGCATTGGTAAACTACCGATGCCTTGATTTATATAGATCCGAAAAAACAATGTAAGGACTTACCGGGATCTAATGAGTCAGGTTTATATATACAAGATTCTACATATGTTTGTTGAATTTCATGGTACAAACATGTATATCTTTCTTTTGATGTACTGTTGCAGTACCAACTGGATCTAAATCTCCACTCAGATAAAGATGGGCAAAGGAAACTTTCATATAATGTCCAGCTAGGTTGTAGAAACTTAAAAGAAACATAGAGTTATTATGATCATACTTAATTTCTAGTATTTCAAATAGGGTAATTTGCAATTCAGAACCGATTGCTTAGGTTTCTAAGCTTCATTGATGTATGTTAATTATTTGGGCTTCTAATAATAATATTCATAAAAAATAAATTTACGATTGTTCTTGAAATAGTTTTAAGTAAGTACGATCTTGACCAAATATTTAGATGAAAAGAAATAGTCCTTTGAAAAAGTAATGCAATCAAAGTGTTATTTACTCATAACATTGTTCGAAAAACTTTTTTTTTAACGCTCAGGGATAATGTCCTCAGCGAGATTTGGCAGTGCTTTTTTTTAATTTATTTTTGCTTTTTTTCAACTTCATATTTGATGCGGTCATTTAACTATCTTGATTCCAAAGCCATTAAAGAGACTGATGTAGGCGCACGCGTGTTTGGTGTACCACATTATTAGCTTATATTTCCTTTAATTGTTACAACCACTCGGTCGATGAACTTTACCTGGATTTGTCGTCCTAGCCAGACTGATTTGAGGTGTTATATCATAGATACGGTATTTATTTGTTGTTGTTACTGTTTTTATGATGCTAAATTATAACATAAAATTATAGCTTCTACCGGAAGCTTCTTTTAGCTTATTAGATGATACCCTTTCAGCATCCTTAGCAGCAGTAACGGCCTAGTGACAGTTAAACGTATTAGAGTAAATCTAAAAACAACATTGGTTAAGTAAAGTGACGATTAGCCAGTTACCAAATCTAAAGTATAGTTTATTTGTAAAATCAAGACTACAGTAATGTCGTAGTTTAACCAAAACGTGTTGTTTAAAATGTTTAAGTACAGATAATCGTTATATTTAAAAATACATAAACTGACCATTCTGTGGAATTATTAATTGCCTTATTTTAATAAGGTTATTTCTATGCAATAGTATTAAAAAAAATCTCTATTTAATAACAATTTTGATCAAGAATAATTATATTTGTCTTCATATTTGTGTAGCATTTGTCAATTTTCCAACTTATTTTTTTTTCTTTTTGTTGAAACTAGGTTGAACTTCCGGTGTATGCTTATGGAATATTGCTGCATAAAATTTGAAATTTTAACTGGAAAATGTTGTCATAACTTAAAAGACTTAATTCATTTTTTCTTTCTTTTTAGATTCTTTGTTATCATTTCTTTGTTTCCTGCAAAGTTAATATAACCATTTAAGTTTAAAATAGCGTATCATCAATAAGCTAATTTAACAATATTTTCTTTCCATTCTCCTTGTAAATGTATTGCATGAGGTCAGTCCCCAGCGAATTAAAAACAAGTAAGTAGAAAAAAAATGCTTCTAATAGAAAAATCTGCTACTAAACCAACAAACCCTTATCACAACAGGACAGATGTCATCCGTAACTACGAATGACTATTGGTATAATATCTGAGATGAAGTTTTATATACTAGAATTTCAAACATTATAGATAATGGTGTTACATAATCAAAATGGTCAGATTCCATGTGTACAAACCAGAAGTAACGTTAAATATCTCTCCATATCATCAAATCCACAAATATGTATCTGAAATACAGTAAACAAAGTTATTAAGGTTTGAAATCTGTACGGTTTACGTATTAATGCAATAACAGTAACGATTCAGATAAGCTGATTCATTAACCAAAACTCTGAAAAATATATCAATGTTCAGGAAAAGTTATTTAATCAATACGTTTGAATCGATTTATCAAAAGAGAGAATGAAGGAAGTTTTCTGTTTGTGTTTTACCTTCACTTTCTTTAAGTAAATTGCATTTATTCTAATTTCCTTGTTTAGTCATAGTCCTGGCATATATATGTAGGACTCGGGTGCAAAAGAACGCTGAGGAATGCTGGTCACACTGAAGTGCGATGGTTTAAATGTCGGACGATTACTAGTTTACGACCTACCGGTGTGCACATATGATAAAAAGTAGATTCATTATAGGTTAGAATATAACTTTTCATTCATTATTGTCAATGACATATCTTTAGCATTTTGGTATTGGCGATATGTATGTGCATGTTTGAAATGACAGAATCGGTGAAAAAAATGTCATTCTGCTGTTAATCATAAAAGTAAGGATAATGTTATTATCGTATTGTGTTTGATTATAATCTGTAAGTACCCTGCTAATATCAGAGTTTCATCGATACCTTTATTGTAAATCTCTTTAAACGGTGTTTGTAACATTTGGAATAGAAGAAATATTTCATATAATGTCAATCAGTAGTTACAGTTTCATTTCAAATAAAGAGGTCGTCCTAATCAATTTTGCTGCATACTCTCGACGATTTACTTGAAAACCCGAAAAGCTGCTTCTAACAAACGAAATGACGTCCACATTGAACATGAAAAACATGAAAAACATTGGAAATATAGTTTATGTAATGATTGGCGCTTTAGCGTTACCACCAACACAACTCGGCGTAGCTCCATGTGGCAATAAGATAGTATCACAATACCACTATTAGAATTCAGCGTGACCATCGCGATTCGGAGTACCATCGTGGTTCATAGTCCTACATGTATGCAAGAACATTGTATATACTCGACATTTTAACTCATAAGGATTAGTCTTACAAACGGAGAAAACAGGAGGCTTTGCAATTGTTGTGGCTCAGGCCACTAACTGTCAATGATTGTATATGACATTTATAAAGTTTATATAGTCAACTTCTCAAATTGAGCGATTATAGTATACACGTTTACTTATATTGTTTACAATGCTTGAATTGGGTCTTTTGTACAAGTAGTAACGATGTTATTCCATGAAGCTTTTGGTACAGTGATTGTGTCATGATTTGGAGGATTGAGGAATGATCTAGTAAAACAATTCGGAATGCAAAAACAGTATCTACATGTTATGGAAACATGAGAATTTTTTTCGAATTTACTTAAATAGATAAGCTTCGATTGTATGTAGCTATTTTTTTTTATATATGACTATTGTATTAAACAGTAAACAATAACATCAACATAACGTTTCTGTTAGTCTTTCAGAGTTGTTCATCTAATGCCTTTATTTAATGTTCTGAAACTGATCGAAGCTATAGTTTAACATTGAAGATAAGTGAAAATTCATGTGCATGATTTAGTTAAAAGGTGTCATGTTTTTGTTCATGCTCGACATATAATTCAGTACTTTGATCCTTAAAATAATATCTTTATGTTTTCTTGAGAAATGGTATTGTTGGTTTTCTTGTGACGTCAAATAACCACCACTGAAAACGTTTATGACAAAAAACGACGTTTTTGCAACTTTAAAGATGTGTTTAGTTGCCGAATTTTTTACCTTCACGCATACCATGCCGACCATTCTTATGATTGTTCCTTCTCATACATTATTTACAAATATCTCGATTGGAGGATTTTCTATCTTTAGTATGCCGAATAAACCAAATTATGTAAAGGTGCCATACTTTAACGCACAATCTCGAAATTATAGGGCATGTAGAGACATATTGGTCATATAAAACATGCATATGTCATATCATATACAACGAAAAAGAAAAACGTTTTGAAAGCATTATTTAATTTCCTTCGGGAGACACATATCATTTGGATAGTTTATATGCTACCTAACGATGAATATAAGATAGAAAACAAAAAGCTGGAATTGTTTTCAGTTAATGGGATGCAAATATAAACAATCATACTCATAGTGAACACTTCTAACATGACCGTTTTCACAAATATAGATAAGCCATATCATTCTTTCTTAAGTGTAAACGAAAGTATGACTGATACAAACCGCTTATGTTACTTTAATGTAAACTAGTTATTTGCAGAGATAAAGTGAATCTCTCAAATGAATTAATATTTTTTATTTAATATACATGGGCCATTATTCTTAAAACTTAAACTGTAACACTTATTTCAGTCTTTGTTATCCGATCATGACCGAACTATACTTGAGAAAATGCAATATAACATATGCACATTAACTAATTTTAATTAGCACTCCCCTTAAAAAATAATTTCCAACAAAATTGAAACTTGCTTCTTTTACATCGATATCTTTGCCGATTGAATAAGTGAAGAGTAGAATATACAAATGTTCTTATACATATATTATATTTTGTATGGACCTACCAGTCTGGATCTTTTCTTCCGCTTGTACTGTTACGAAATCTTCAAACGTTTATCTAAATTAAGATAACAAGGGATACTGTACTATAAAATAGTTTGTGATATGTTGATAAAGTCTAATCTTCTTTATTGTGTCACATATAATCATTCTATTAAGTAACCATATCTAAAATGTATGAGCGTTCTTTAAACCCCCAGTTTTCATATGAGTTAACCATCAGATTGGTTTTAGTTTGTTGGATTGCTATCCAAAAATAGTTAAAAGCTTCTTGATTCTTTTTTTTTTTTTTAATTTGGATTAAACATTCACGTTCAGAAAAGTAGTTAAAATCAAGGTTAATGATTTTATAAATAGTATGTTTCCTAAAATGGAAAGATTTCATGTTTATTTCTATTTTATTATCTTTAATAATTTGTTTACCATTTTTCTTGCTTTTGATCATGTACAAAAAACTCCCCTAGAGCTTTTCGAAGTCTGTTGCTTCATTAACATAAATAAATCATTGCAATTTTATCTGCACATGATTATTTTTTCCAAATCCATCTTCTTCTGTATAATTTCATAATTATTATAAACCTGAAAACGAACCACAAATTTCAATTGCATTCAAAGCAGCTAGGTCATCGTTTGTATTTATAGAAACTAATGTTGTGCCATAAGCTTAAAACGAACACCTAGTTAAATATTATGCACTTCAATTTTCATTATTTCTCAATTTTGGAACAATATATTAAAGAGCCAAAACAAACAAAAAAGGATAAAAAAATATTAAAATAACAAAAATACTGAACTCCGAGGAAAATTCTAAACGGAAAGTCCTTAAGCAAATGGCAAAATCAAATGCTTAAACACATCAAACGAATATATAACAATTGTCATATTCCTAACTTGGTACAGGCATTTTATAATTTGAAAATAGTGGAGTAAACGTGGGTTTATAGCTAGCTAAACCTCTTACTTGTATGACAGTTGCATAAAATTCCATCATATTGACGACGATGTGTGAACGAAACAAAAGACATAAGAGGTAAAAATGTCAAAAATAGGGATACAGCAGTCAACATTGTATCATAATCTTAATCACTATAAAAACAAAGAAATATGTCAACAAGGAAAAGCGAAAGACAAGAATACAAAAATTTACCATAATACAATAACACAATGACGGCAGGGATAAGAACCGACCCACGTCAAAAGATATAACCAAAATTAGACTAAACAGTAAACGTAATAATTTACGAAGACAAATAAAAGAATACTATAACACGTTATTAAGATGATAAACAACGTCAGTACCTATAATCTATACTTCAAGACCATCGTGTATTATTTGCGAAGTTGATACGGAATATTTATCAACAAGGTCTGTGTATCTTCCGATGAACTTTTTTAGAAAAAGGACGAGACGCTCTTTGACATACCCCTGGTTTATCAACTTTCTGCTCAGACACTGGTGACGTTTTACAAAGTCTGAGTAGCAGCTGCAAGCTCTTAAATACCTAATGAGTTCGGAAATGTACATCCCATATGCAGGTGAAGTTGGTATATTGCTACTAAGGTGGGGAAAAATCTACCTCCAAATTCAACAAAAATGTTGTCAATATAAAACTCAATCATACTGATCACATGTTCCTCTGTGTAGTATGTTTTTCTTTTTTGTTCCCTATTAACAAAATATGCCGTTTGGTATCCCAAACTAATAAATTTATAGCGTATGCAACCATTTTTTTGTTTAAAAGCATTGTGGATTATTTCTTTTAGGCAATTTTCAATTTCACATGGGGAAGGAAATGGTGGTATACAGGGTTGAAAAATCAAAAGTTTTTATAGAACACATTTCAGAGAAAGATCGAGATTTAAAATTATCCAGAAAATTCTTTAGAGTTTTTATAGAATCCACATATATGGTTAATACCGCTACGCGAGTAAACAGTTTCACGGTATTTTTGAAGACCCTCTTTCACTGCGGACTGAATCTTTGTCAATCTAATGGATAATTCTTTTGTCGAACATGCAGATGAGCCGGCAATGTACCATTGTTTGTACGGAATTTTGTGAAGCTTGGGTATCCAATACAAACAAGGTTAGTCATCGGATTTGCTGTTCAATGTAATGTTCATTAAAGCCACTGAGAACTTATGATTCGCCATCATCTCATCCTTGTCAAATGATATGTTCTTTTACAAGACACTGGTACTTGTACGATTTACATACAAAGACAATACTATTTGAAGCTTTGTCCGCGGGAACAACAACATACTTATCATGAAGAGATGCTAGACATTTCACAGCATATTTGTCTCTGAAAACAGACTTTGGTCAATCATTCACACAGTATTTCAACTTATGAATGCGACGTTTTATCAGAGACCTGATTGTTTTGACCCATTCTGACAAAGTGTCCAGTTCAACTTCTTCTCGTTAAACCATGCTCTAGCGTAGTCCTCAATGGAATCCCTGAATATTGTAAAAATATGGTTCGAATTAATGTTTTGGAGTTCTCTAAACTTAGGAACATGAGATATCACATTTCGGAGATGTTCATGTTGAAATATGTTTAGATCCCCAGTAATAACATGGCCAGCGGGGCTGTAAATATTAGGCGAGTGGGAACAGTCACATGTCAGAGGGTTATTTAGGTATTGTTCCAAATCAAGGTCCTGCAATGCTTGCTTATAGATAAATACGTTAGGTGCAATGGTTTTGGTGTAACTGTAGGATACAATATGAACAGGCTGATTTAAGTGCATCCTTGTCGTGTTCCACGTGTGAAGTTTTGGCAGTTTCTGATACCCACCTATTATTCATTAGACATGTGTCAACTTCTGTGGACATAGCTTTTGTTCATATAATAGATAATTCATTTTAAATTGTCTCTTTTACGCATTGAAATAAGAATAGTTCTTTATCACCAAACTCTGCCCATTTTTCAAGATCTCACGTTCGCTCCTTTCTTTTTTTCTTCATATATCCGATTTTACTCCCCTTACAATAATTTATTTCATTTTCATTTTCAATATCATTATATCATTGTGTTTTTTTTTGGTCTAAAATGAATTTTTAGTTCTAACTCTTTTCAAAATTATGTCTTCGATCCCTGGTCTACTTTCTTTTGCTTTTTGCCTGGCTAGATGCATACGTTCATTTACCCTGTGTTTCAAGTTTATCGATATTGCGGCTCAAGATATTTGGGTATTTTAACTAACAAATTTTCCAAAAAGTGTTGTTGACAAGGTCAATGTCACCAGTAACAACTTGGCAAACCAGACGTTAAATTAATGTTGAACTTTCACATTATCAATAGGGGAATTTGTGATTTTAGAATAAATATTGAGATCCCACAACACCTTTTGCAGTTGAAAGCTTTAGTCGCATGTGCAATATAGGTATATAGGTTGGCAACAGTAGTTTACCAATGTTTAAAGTTCTTTAATTAAGAATACACTATAAGGTTATAAACAAAAGCTGAGGAAAACGAATGAACTCTAAAAGGAGAGAGAAGCAGTGCTGCGAAAGGAAAGTGTCAACCGACATGCATCCTTACCCGCCATGTGTGTCTTCATTCAGTCCAATTGTGTGAATCTTGATTAGGACAACAACGGCAATATTACAGATTAGACGAATATTCTGGTATTTGGAGACCTAAGACTGCAAAAACATATCGCAAGTAAGTCAACAAATAATGAGAATCCCTCAGACAATTGTTCTTATGTTTGTGACCATTCCTTAAGGCAACTACAGTTTCCGAACAAACCGGTAACTTGCAATAATCTGGAAAAAGATAAAAAAAAAAAACAACCATGCATTGATCGTGATTTCATCAATTAACACGGTTCTACCATGCATATAGACAAAAATTGCATCTCACCCTTATTTTCTATTTTTACCCATATCAGCCATGTTTGTCGAGCACATCTCCCATCGATGATTATGGCCAAGTTTGGTTAAATTTAGCCCATTTGTTTCAGAGCCGATGATATTTGTAAATGTTTACGGACGACCGACGACCGACGACTACGTACATCGAATGACGACAATGACGGACGCTAAGTGATGGCAAAAACTCACAGTGGCAAAGTTACGCCAGATGAGCTTAGAATCGTTTTAAGCCAAATAAAAGCAAAACAAATTTAAAATATTGATTTTGATATTGATAACGTTTGTACCATATTTCAATTTTATGTTCACTTGAGGAAACTTCAAAGATTTTCCATTTAATTATGAAACAATGAAGTACTGAATTCTTTTATCCGTACAATTTAAACATTTGTTATGTAGTACATTGTGTTTTTTTTTTTATCTCGTTATTACCTTAAAATTGTCAAATGAATATTACCACAACATTCTCCGTTCGTTTTTAGAGATATTGATATAATCTAAAAAGGAAATATGGAAGATTGAATTTTGTCTGTATTGTTAAGATGAATAAAGTTGATTATACTTCTGTTGTAGGTAAATTTTTGAAAAAATTATAGCCAGGATATATAATTGTCTTTAAACTGCAAATATACACTTTTAGTTCTACTCATTTTTGTCTATTTGTTAAACCTTTTAAGATTCATCCCCTAAAAGACATCTTACTTGTCAAAATAATACTATGACGTTATTTATGTGATTTGTTGAAATCAGTCCGATTTTGAACGAATTCGACTGATTGTAGACTACAATATCAACAATAAACAATGAAAGTAATAAAGTATATAGTTTCAAGACGGTCAGCCACGTATCCGATCTCTCTCCTTTTGAGGTTCATGCGTTTCCCTCAGTTTTTGTTTGTAATCTTAATTTGTCTTCTTAATCGATCAATGAGATTGGAAAATTTGTGAACTACAAAAATATGTCGATATGTGTATGAGAAATGATTTAATTTGACTTCTCGCTTTACAGTGAGTTTTTTTTCGATGTCAATGGCAGTAAACATATACACATATCCCGGCGATGGGCGTGGATTAAGGCAATATACGGTCAGTGACTGTATATCATTTTAGAATATATAATCAACGCATTTCGACTGCTCAAATTGAACAATTGCAGTTTAAGTCAATCTATCATTACGAATCTGGTGAAAGTATCATGAATAAAGGAAAGATAAACAAAGTCTTTAATCAGTTACATTCTGAATATGAATATATTTCATAATTCTGTATGCATTTGATTTGTAAAGTTCAAGCATATCGGCATGTTCAGATATGTTACCGTAGTGATAATTGATACATACATATATATATATATATATATATATACAGTACTTGCAACCTTAGGCGTTACTGTTTGACGTGAACTTGGCTGTTCGGTGAATGATTGGTGACGGATGTTTGACTGATCGATGACTGATCGATGACTGATCGGTGATCGATGACCCATAGAATCCGTCAGATACGTAAAATAAGCTATGTGAGAGTTACCTTGACAACGGTCAGCGATCGATCAGTAAAGTAATTATATGCACGGATCGGACGGATACGTATATAATTAAAATTCTTATGTAAAACGAAATCCACAGTATTTACATTCGATAAACGCGGACCTCTACGAAGACACCTTTACTCGTTAAATTTTAATCAACTGGTTGCAAT